TGACCGATTAAGAAGACACGCATTGCTACATGGTAAATGGTATCTACAATGGATAAGAGATAAGATATTTTTGAATTTTGTTATTTGAGATTTCTTTCGAGAACATTTGTCAGCATCCAAAAAGATCCGCTGTACCTGAAGTGTCTTTAGCAGATATCCTAACGAAGTCTTCTGGATGAAGGTCGGTGATGAGTGATTCAAATGACATTCAAGGATTACTTCTGTGCTTTTCTTTAAAAGTCGTTTATATACGCTTAGAATGGCGTATGATTGCAGAGTTGCAAACACTCAGAGGATATGCTTTTCATGTTAGTTGGTTTGCCTCATTTCCGATTTCGATAATTGCACTCAATGAACACGCCTACCATTTAAGGGAGAAGACTTATCCTTAGAAGTACTTTACAATGATTCAACACACAATGACGTAAGTACAATTACGTCAAAAATTGCGTTCGAGACATCACTCGGAAATGGAAAAGCTAAGTTGAGTCAGAACAGATTGATGTACGAGCTGATTAGATCGAAGTCGAATGATACGTTCAATAAGCTGGCGAAAAACTTTTAGTGCAGTGAATAAATCAACTAACCGCTTAGAAATCAACTAACTTAAAATGCTGTCTTCAGTTGGAGAGACAAATAACGAGGGACATGGCACAGACACAGAAATAACGAGTGCACACAAATCGTAAAATCTAACCCGGATCGAAGACATTCTCATCGAATGATAAATATGTGAAAAGTGGAGATGATGCACAGGTCACTCGCGATAACGGTCTGATGAAGCGATCTGGACAGGTACGATAACGGGCAGCTGTCCAGCCATCCTGCATTTTTATTGATGGACGGATAGATTCACTTTTCAAAATCAGTGCAAAACGGGAAAAATTCATTGAGAGACTCGAAGGTAGGATAAATATAATCTCTCAAGTGATCACTCAGTTGACGAACCCTACCTGAGCTATTGATGAATGTATTTGAGTTTAATTTGAAAAAAAAAAAAAACGCTTTGAGATGATTGCTTCAAGGGAGTAATTTCATTGACAATATTATCAACAAATGCTTTCAACTCGCTGCTCAGAATTAAGCAATTCACTGCTCATCTTGTGGGGATGATGTACAGGTCCCTTAGCGGCGGGGAAGTATGGACGCCGGAAACTTTACCCCTCTCGCATTAAATTTTCAATTAACTCCCTCAATGATTTTCGATATTCGATATTTGAAGTGGTCAACAATATGACACCGCACATCATCGTTAGCGTGAGAATTCAAGCAAGACGAGCTTTAAAGAGTGTGAGTCTGTGAGCGTTTTCTTCACCTACTACGACAGACCTTCCAAAAACTAAAGTAGTCCCCTTAACATTCAGGTTATGGCTACGGGTTCGTTTCAAAAATCTTTGTGCCTAATGTTTCCTAGATTTGCGATCGAATTGGAACATATAACGTTTTTTTATGAACGTAGGAACGAACATTATCAGGAAGATCTGAATCAGCACCGTACTCAAGAAGAGTGTCATAGATTGCATTTTGTTGGGTTGCTGCAAAGTGAACCGCTGTACGACCGTTCTGCAAATTGATGCATTTTATAACCAATTAAGAAAATTTTGAAAAATCCTCCTCACTCAACTGTGACTGATTAAATCTAATGAAGTGACGTTTTCAGTAGCAATAATGCACTTTTGCAAATCGAGCAAGAAAAAAATTGCAACTGACGACCTCATCGGTAACATTAATGCAGTCCGGAAATTTATCCGCCAAATATTCAACAATTTCGTGTCGTTCTTTGCATACGGCCACATGAAGTAACGTCAACCCTAAACCATCAAATTTATGCCACACGACAATTAAAATTACTCCAATAAAACAGTAGAAATAGAAATCACTCCAAATAGAAATCACTATGTGCTCCAATAAATAGGAATAAAGCAATAGGAATGTGAAAAATATGTCTTAAAATATGTGAAATTTGAAAAAAACGGAAGTATGGAAGAAATATGTACAGTGATAATGTATTCAAGCTCTAGCGCAGTGATCAACCGATTTTAAGCAGAACAAGTACCTCTTGGATCTCGCATAAGAACCAGTTGTGGATCTATGATGTTCTTCAGTTTATTGAGGTCATTCTCTTCAATCGCTATTATAGCCGTGTCCAGTCGCCTCTAAAAGTAATTCACTCACTCATAAAGTTATGAACTTTTGATAGAATTTTTCTAAAAAACTCAGTATGGCATGACAAGGATAGTGCATAGTGAGCAAAGTCATAAACTCACTGCATTCTGATGAGGATATTGGTTTGAAAGGATCACCATTTCCAAGAAATTATTAGCAAGAAAGTTTTTCAGCAAAATTTGGGAATGAGGCGAAGATAAAATGATGCAATCGGACGATGCGATATTTTAGGCAATAACAGCAGACAAACAGCAGAAGTGGTACCTGAGCAGTCCTGAAGCGATCAATGTAGTTGACAAGATCCTTATTTTCAATATGTTGTTTAAGTATTCGGCATATTTGTTCACCTTTCCCGTCAACTTGAATCTCCTCAAGTTCTTTGAAATCATCCTTCTTGAAATCTATCTTCAGAATACACTCTTCCACATCCGTATCGATAACCTCTTCATCTTCTACAACTATTCAAACAATTAAGATGCTCATAGAATAGCAGAGAATGAA